GGCCGCCATCTAAGCTGAGTGATCAGAGGAGAAGGGCCTTAGTCAGGGAGGTGATCAATAACCCGATGGTCACTCTGTCTGACCTCCAGCGTTCTTCTGTGGAGAGAGGAGAACCTTACAGAAGGACAACCATCTGTGCAGCAATCCACCAATCAGGCATCTGTATGGTAGAGCGGCCAGACGGGAGACACTCCCCGCCTGGAGTTTGCCAAAAGGCATCTGAAGGACTCCCAGAGCATCAGAAACTAAACTCTCTGCTCTGATGAGACTCAAACTGAACTGTTTGGAGTGAACGCCAGGCGTTACGTTTGGAGAAAAGCAGGCAGCGCTCATCACCAGGCTAACAGCATCCCTACAGTGCAGCATGGTGGTGTTGGCATCATGCTGTGTGGATGTGTTTCAGCAGCAGGAACTGGAAGACCAGTCAGGATAGAGGGAAAGATGAATGCAGCAATGTACAGAGACATCCTGAATAAAGACCTGCACAAGAGTGCTCTCGACCTCACGGTGAACATGACGGTTCATCTTCCAGCAGGACAATGACCCAAAGCACAGCCAAAACATCAATGGAGTGGCTTCACAACAACTCGATGAATGTGCTTGAGTGGCCCAGCCAGAGCCCAGACCTAAATCCTATTGAACATCTCTGGAGAGATCTGAAAATGGCTGGACACTGCCGCTTCCCATCCAACCTGATAGAGGTTGAGGGGTACTGCAAAGAGGAACGGGCAAAAATTCCCAAAGACAGGTGTGCCAAGCTTGTGCATCATATTCAGGAAGACTCGAGGCTGTAATCGCTGCCAAAGGTGCATCAACAAAGTATTGAGCAAAGCCTGTAAATACTGATGCACATCTGATTTTATAGGTTTTTTATTTTTAATAAATTTGCAACAAATTTAAAAACACATTTTCACAGTGGCATTATGGGAGATTGTGTGTAGAATGTTGAGGAAATAAAGGAATTTAATCCATTTTGGAAAAAGGCTGTCACATAAACGACTGTGGAAAAAGTGAAGTGCTATCAAATCTCCCGCATACACTGTATACATCTTACATAAATGCATTTAAAATGTTCACACAATTATTATATATGAAGTTCTTGAATTACTTTCCTGAACGAATCATTGATTCAAATGAATCGGTTTAATAAATGACTCGTTTAGTAATACAATCATTGTAAGTCCACACTAAATACTTATAAGAGACGTGTTTAAGGAATTATATGCAGCATCCTTCATTTATTCTCTTAGTTAAGTAGAGATCTCCACTTCAGCATCATAACACATGTGCTTAAAACATTATAAAGCTTGAAGCATCAGAATCAGTACTCAGTATCAACCGATCACCATGACAAGGAATCAGTAGTCTCTGTCCTGAGCAGAGCGTCCTATATAATCAGTATGTTTGATTTCTACCTTACTGCAGGTCTTTGTTGTGTGCGCTGTTCTCTGTGTGCCCCTGATCAGTGTGTGTGTGTGTGTGTGTGTGTGTGTGTGTGTGTGATGTCCGTGACCGCAGAGGTGTCGTAC